TATAAAAGATAATATTTATGATATTTGATGAGTCATAAAAGGCATAAACAATATGCCTATTCCATTGCCCTTATATTTATTTACGACTAGCTGTTGCATGCGACTTCGTCCACGCAATATTAAGATAAAAAAGTGTCCATAAATGCCAATCTATGTCCGCTACCCTTCAGTCAGTCCGGTCATAATCGGCCCAGCCGTTGGAGATTACCCGGAATAAAAGCGGCTTTCGGATAGACAGACAGACAGAAAAAAAATGCGATTTTCGTTATCATCAACGCAAAAACATCATCTCCCCGATATCGAGATTTTTTCTTTTGACATTACAGAATCTCCAATTTTATTATATGTATAGATTGTTACAAGTGTGTTGTCTTCAAGAAGCTAAAGCTATCATCATTGTATAAAACTACATTGTTAAGGTGAACTTTTAATATACAATGTGTGTACAAATTAAAGATCAAAGCCATGCAATGCAAATTACTCGTAGTTAAAGTAAATTATGTGATCGTAATGTGAATCATTGTCGAAACCAAAATAACTGTACTCATACCTCACTACATTTCCCTGCATTTCGGTTGGCATTTGCATACAAGCGACGCGTACCGCACTGGCCCGTTCCAAATTTTTTTTAGACGAAATTCAGTTTAAATTTTTCGAGTTAGTTCGCTTTGTTTGTGCATGTAAAATGCACGTCGGTCTGTCCCTCTGATTACGTCCTCCTGTGTTACTGTCATTCATTTGCAACTGCAGCGGCAGACCCACTCAATCTCCTTCATTATGAACGTGCCCGCGTACCGTTCCCGTTTTACATTTTGTACGTTACGCTACATAAAACGCATTTTATATCTCACTAATCTTACTAGTATTACAAATGCGAAAGTTTTTATGGAAGGATGTTTCTTAGAGTTTGTATCCTAAACGGCTTAACGGATCTCGATGAAATTTGACATAGACGTAGAAGATAGTTTGGAAGAACACATAGGCTATTCACTTTATTTTTAATTCCACTTGGAAAGAGTCGCGGGCGATAGCTAGTAATTACATAAATTACTTCAATGTTGTAGAGCATTAGCGTATTAAACAATCCAATGTCAATAATATTTCGCAGGTAAATATACTGAAGATATTTTTTAAAGAATATTTGGGTCCGTTTTAAATTACAGGTAACAATTCAAACAACAAACGTAGCAATCCAAAATTAAGCCAGTCAGTAATTCTACTAGCTGTTTTGCGTTTATCATGAATTTTAGGTCAAATGGTAAGATTAAACTAACGAATAAATACTATTAATTGATCATAGTACAAAAGGTGATAAGGCACCTGTTGTTTGCGCTCCAACATAACCTTGTTCGCTAAAAGGTAGGGTTGAACACGTACAAGCTTACAATACAAAAAGCCCCTCTACGAAAAGCGATGTCACTACATTCCGTAACATATGCAAGACATTCCGTTGTGCGCAAAACGGGTGTCATAAGGTAAGAAATCGTGCAAAGGGTTTTTATTGCGATGTTTTAACTGTTTAGTGACCGTGGAATATTTATAGAAAAGTAGACTAGGTGAATATCTGTTATTATTAAAATTGTTCGTGTTATTTATCTTTAAGAGTTAAATATAATAAAGCTTTGTAGGTGATTTAATTTGATAATTATCTCTCGGCTATTATTTTATATGCGTGGTAGAAAAAAAATCGTTATTCAAAATAATAGATTTATTAATTAACTAGCTGTTCCCGTGTGATTTCATCAGCACAAAAATATTTTATTGTTTACATTTGTCAAATTATCAATTGCAAATGGCAAAATGACATGACATGACATGTCAAAACTTGCAATCTTGCTACCTTGATGTTGGCAGCAACTTATGGTCTCTTTCCCACATTAGGGTTTTTATCCAAAATATTTACCCCTAAGTTTAATGGCGTGAAAATATATAGCCTAAAGCATGACGTGGGTGTAGGGCCTTTTTTTAAAAAGGAATTATTCAAAAACATGCTGCAATTGCTGACATCTTGGGCAACAAAGAAGTGTGTGTTTACGCTTTATTATAATAGTATAGATTATTATTATAAAACACAGTAGTAACACAATTAGTAGTAGCTAATTACAATGTAACTATGCTAGGCTTAATCCTTAATGATAACGACTCGGCAATTTGCATTATATCGCTCATTGACCCGTGCTGCTATATGAAATATCGACATAGCCGTATTGAATGTAATTTACCTACTCCAGTCTATTATGGAATGACACTGTACAAATTCTCTATAGAAGGCGTGAATTCTTCAGATGAATACTTTAAATATTTTGTTGTAGAAATTCAATAAATGCAGGAATAAAGAACTTTATTACCAGTAACAATGCGTCGCCTTAACTGGGCAAAGAAAATTGCTATTTTAAACTTACATACATAGTTTTGTTTTTAATTGTATACGTTTAAACCACCATATAAATTTTAATTTAGAACCAATATAGTAAGGGTAAGTGATTCGCCTAAAGTTTTACAGTTAAAATATTTCAAAATCGTATATCGAAAATGACGTTTAAATTTCTAACATAAATCCAAGGGTGGTATCAGCTAGGGTTGGTACGTTTCGTTCCTCGAGCATTATCAGGGTCCCCTCGTTGCTGCGGTACATTCATTACAAAAAGCGACACGTAGCGAGTAGCGACGCCGGCGCTTTAATAATTCCACTCGTTCCTCCCCCGGCTGAGCGCGTACAATGCCTAACGGTATCAATCAACATCAAACAGCCCCGCTCTATCTCCGAGCTCGATTTAGGGTTGTTATAGCAGAGTTTCTAAATTTCTACTATGGACAAAGTTTGAACATAATGTCTTAGGGTTGACAGACGTTACAACTTTTGCCAGTGCATGGAATTGTTTTTAAGATATTCTTGAGAATACAAATTCTAAATCGATGTGAATTCTGAGCTCTATGTTTGTTATCTTCATTGTAATTTTAAAACGAAATGTGTATTTACATTTTTCGCAAAACAAGGGAAAACTTATTTTGACATTGAATATTGTCCCAAAATGTATTTTACTGCTGATAAAATACGTATCAATATTGATAAGTAAAGGTGAAGCTTTCATTCCAATTTTATCATAAACATGATTTGTTTATCAAATTGATGCAAATGATTCAGAGTTCATTATCTTGTTACTAAGCTTAGGCAATGAATCAAAAAAATTAAATATATGTCAATTTTCACTAAAAAAAAATCGTTCTTAATTACATTAGATAATAATGCTAATTTTATCTTGTAGTGTTATTTACGGTCTTGAACGTGTTTCATGAGTGTGTCACTTTATATTTATCTTGTTAAAAATATAAAATTCATATTAATTAGTGAATTATTTAATTTGTGTTTCATAGATTTTAAATGCCGAATAATTTTATATATTTCACAATGAAACCCTGGGTAAAAAACAAAACACGTAATTTCGTCTGAAATAAACCCTTTGTAGTTCGTATTGCTTTAAAAATTCCCACCGAGCCCTGATAAAAGGGACGTTTAAACCCAATGTGTATTCATTAAATAGGCCCACAGCCCTGGGCATTCGCGGCCTGTCACCGACAATACTTTTTATCGTGCACATTGCACACAGCACACACAGGGATCACGGCTGCAGGGCCCGCGGGCTGAGCCCCTCATACATCGCTTTGATCTGCACTCACAACGATGGACACACAATCTGCTTTACTGCTCAAACATATCTGATTCTATCCTAATGGGGATTGTTTGAAAAGGAATGACGGTAAACTGAAAATAAATAGGCACTTCAAAAGTAGATTGCACAGACGGAATTGGTTAATGATAATAACGGATTGTCAATATAAAAAAACCGATTACTTTCAGGAGGGGTATACAGGTTTGTTTAGCTCCATCCATACCTAAAATTACTAAGGATGTGAGAATACATTTCTATAGCAATCATACAGCTTTCATTTAGATTCATTTATCTACAACTGTAGAGAGTAATTAATTTTTTCCTAACAATTTATCAGCAACGTATAAAGTGGGAGCGTTTCTCGAAGCAGCCGCTCAACACGTCGCCACTTTATGAATCACAGCGGAAATAATTCCCACTTACGAGAAACGTCTCCATCCCGTTTCGCTGAATAGGAAATTTCTTACATTTTTCACATGAAAACAATAGCTTGCTACAAATAAACTGTATTCAAACCCACGCCTATGAACAATAAATAAGTGGCCTTTACTACAAATCAAGAACGCTGAAAATCTTAGGCTGTATTACATTCGTAAGCTAGATTCTTGAACCTTTTTATTAATTAACGAGAATTTACTTTACAATATAAGTGTAAGGTAAGAAGAGTAAGTTTAAGTTATTACCAAAATCACAAACTCCAGAAACGAACATTTTTGTAACGCCCTTTTTGTCGAATTTACGATCAATTGGCTCTTCAAGTCTATTAGACTATAATTCACAGAGTACAAACGAAATGTTTACGTTAATAAAGAAACCAAGCCGTTAGGTTAATAACAGCGATTCATGTTCCGCCGGAGTTTTACGGCCGTGTGAACAGAACCGCACCGGACGCCGCCACTGGTCGCGCAACTTTGAGAACTTCATCATTATGTTACAATTTGTTTCTATAGCCCAGCGGCGAACTAGGATATTCATCATCACCAGCTATACGTCCCTGAGGGGTTTGGAGCCTGCCCAAAGTTAGGGTGATTAGGCCTTAGTCAACCACGTCGGCCCAGTACGGGTTTGTTGACTACACACATATCTATGAATTTCTTTGTCGATATGTGCAGATTGTATCACGATGTTTTCTTTCGCCGTAAAAACGTCGGGTGAATTACGAACCTATGATATTCGAAAATCACATTAATACGTGAAGAGATTTGAACCCCGGACCTGTGGATTACAAGTCAACTGCTCCAAACCCTGAGTCACCGACGCTATGTAGATATCCATTGAAATTTAAAAAGCGCCAGATTTTCCCGATAGTACATTATTAAAAAAACTTACCGAGTCGGGATCATGTGCATTAGGTGTGGACGGTTGCGGAGGTCTCGGCGGCGGCGGGTAGCCCTGCCAACAAATATATTCATTGAGTAATATTTAACACATTTACATTCTATATATGGGTTTTCTCAAACACGCATCTATAAGCTAAGTAATTATCAAAGACCCATCAAAACAATTTTATATTTGATGAACCTTGTCTATAATTTTCAAGATTTTTAGACAGCTTTCAAAAATACAATTCAAGATAATTCCCAATGTTTTTTTTTAGTAGATTTAAAATGTTTCATTTAGTGATTAATTTATTTCTTAACCTATCCAACTATGTTAAGATGATTGTTGTAAAAATCACGAAAAACTGTTATCTAATCTATCAAGATTTACAATAAAAAAGTATAGATTTTTCTGTTTTAGAAATACGTTTATTCGATAACGCTTCAGTTTCGATATTCCAAATTTTACCTGACGTTAAATTGAAATTTCATGTCAGAGTGAAACATATGCGAAAATATTTTCATCCGATTTTTTTATTTCAATTCGCCGCTCAAACTGACTAATCGTTTTACACACTTTAAATGGTAAATAGAAATTGATTCGTAAACATGATTCAACAATAAAAATTTGACTGCCCTCATAACTTATATAAGTTTTTATTGGATGTCCGGTGCTCAGAGTGAATTCTGCGCTATAAAAGTAAAAGTAGGTTCAATATATTCTTTTCAGTTTTAATATAAAGGCGAAAATTTAGATGGATACATGTTTGTTAGAGTTTGTAGTCCAAACTGCTGAACGGATCTCGATGAAATTTGGCATATATATAGAGGAGTCTGGAAGAACACATAGGCTACTTACTTTTGTTATTTTTATTCCACGCGGACGGAGTCGAGGGCAAAAGCTAGTTTGAATATAAATCTTTGATAACATCAAGATTGTGAGGATAATGAAAGTTTAATTTGAATAAAAGCAGTGTAAATGTTAAATGATATGACGCACGTGCAATCGAGGTGCGACCTTGAATGCTGAGGCTGCGTGTAGAAGACGCGGTGGGGGTAAATTAATGCCGGCGACGGGTGACGGGCGTTCCGCTCAACTATTCCTTATCCGATGACTAACGAAGAATGAAGTGGAATTCTCGACAAACTTTTTCCGACGCGAGGGGGAAACCTATCGACGGCTCCTACGCATATAGACGTAACAGAAAAAACGCGCTTTTTCTGGAAATCATTTTAGTTATTGTTGTATAAGTTACTGATGTAAACAACGTTATTGATGTAGAAGTATTTATATGTTTAGACTAATTTCCATGTAAATGACATTTGTTAAATGAAATATTCAATTGATTTAAGTATATTAATTCGTCTAGTAGAATTCGAAAAACACGAACTGTATTTTTCCATAAAAATTGAGTTACTACGTTATACGTAGGACCCGTAGTTATAAGTAGCACTACGAGTCGGCCCGCCATTCTCAGACGTCGAAGTACTTGAGATGAAATTTGAAACATGCGCATATTAAAGCATATTGGAGAGGCATAATTTTTAACCATAGTATTGAAAAAATGTTATAGGTAATGAACAAGTTCTCATTTGCCTACAAACAACTCTAAAAACGTATTTATAACTACAGTAAGTACTAACGTCAAGGTTTTTTTTCTATTTTTTTAATTCTCTATTTTTCATAGTCAAAGCTTACTAATGCAAAGTAGTCCTTTATATTGTAAGAAAAATATGTTAATCAAGTCTTTATTATACAGATTTAAAAGCATCCGTTTGTTAATAAAAATCAATTCCGTAAGCTATATTAAAAATATTATGCATAACAATGAGTCACTACATTATCATATCAATTGACCAATTTCCAAAGTACAATTTATATTCGTCGGATAAGAAAATATAAAATAACAACCAATATAATTAAATTATAAATAACATTCTTCCAATGCAACGCTTATATTGTGCAAAAAAGAGAAAGATTGGAGTTCATTTGAAATGTGCAGATTGTCTATGGTGAAAATATGGCTTTGGATTGTCTATCGTGAAAAAAATGCAAATATTTTATCGGTCCGTCTCTCAAACATTAGTATATTTAATTAAAGCTAGATTAAGCGATAAGACATTTTTACCACTAGCAAAGTTCTCCGTCTAATAACCATCAACCATATTAAAGTCAAACCCAGACTCCGGCCTGAAATGAAGTATTTTCTGTGTAATATACCAAGTCAATTCCGTACTCCAGCTATCGTTTAGCTACAAAACTTAACTTTCTAGTTTTTAAAGAGAGCAATGCGATCAGAGCTTTCATATTTTCGCAAGCGCTGTGTAATTTCAAAGGAGCAACGTTGCAAACAAGTTGACCGTCTCGAGTTGGTAGTCGCTCGCAACTCCGAACACTTCTCTGGCTCAAATCTCGCCTCCGACACTAAAACGCTTAAGCGACCAACTTTATAAAGGCGGCACGGACACTCGCCCGGTTAGTTTTATTTTTGCTCGACGTTAAAATATTTTAGAGTAAATTTTCTTCTGGGTAACAAAAATGGAATACATATGTACAAAGGGGTTGTGTTTAAGTTCTATTATAAAATACTTTTATCTAATATCTTATATGGTTTGTGGCAGGATACATTAATAGTTGTCTTAGAGATAGGCGTGTATTTGTTTGTGAATTCGTACAAGATAAACGTTGCCGCAAATATCAAACTGGAAGCGGCGCCGGGCGGTACGAGCCCGCAATCAGGGATTGCGGGATGAGACACGAGAAATATTAATTTCACTTTGTTTTGTGGCAACCCTGCGAGCGAACGCCCCGCCAACCCACACGAAATGTTTGTTTTTATTAAATATTCGATGCTTGGGTCAACGCTCTCTTGCTATCAAACGAAAATTTACTGCTCTTTCATAAATATGTGATTCAATATTATTTACGTCACAAAACGTAAGATCAGTAATAAGGGTTGAAAATAAACACTAGTATCATGATATTTGAAACACTATCTTACTAATATTATAAATGCGAAAGTTTAGGTGGATAGATGGATGGATGTTTTTTTAGCGTTTGTAGCCTAAACGGATCTCGATGAAATCAGGCATAGACTGGAAGAACACATGGCTACTCATTTTTTTAAATTCTACGCGGACAGAGTCGCGGGCGAAAGCTAGTATCGAATAATTATTTTAAAACTCATATTAGTGTCTCCTATTAGGTAAAACAGATCAATTCATTTGGGCGCTCTATAGAATGGGACAGTAAAAATACTAATAGACAAAGCACAAAACTAGACGCGTCCCCGGGGGAAAATTAATTTTCCTTTTTTCCCGCCGCGTGCGCCAGATTATAGCGCGCCAAAGAATTTTGAGGCTCGTTAATTCGCCATCACCGCCGCTGGGAATTAAACCCGACTAACGATTAAAATATACCGAGTTTTATTCAGTTGAAAACTGATGCCTATTGTAGTGGGGGTAGGCAGTGTGATAACACCTGATCAGATCATAACAAACAATGCAATCCAACTGCTGTATTTTGAAGATTTTCTGGCACCCACTCAATAGTTTCGAACTTGCACGGGAACAATTATTTAGGTGCTTTTCTATTTCCGATCAAGAAAGAAACTGGAGCGTTGTCTCCAGTTTTCAAAATTTCCTACCATTTAAGATTCATGTTATTATCAAAAAACGGACAAGATTCAGTTTAATTTGCTTTTGTCGTTAATAAGATAATTATAATTACCTTGAGCAACCTTAAGTAGAGTAAACGGCATTACAGTTTATAATTAACCATAATTAGGCACACAAAGTATATTAGTAAGTAAATCGTAAATTTATACTTTTAAAAATTAAAAAAGTACTTATACAGTTTTTATCATACTAAGAATTTTTGGGTTGAAAAAATTAAACTTAAAACATCCTGGATACTCATGACAGTCATTTGTTGTTACAAAAAATACTTCCCAAAATCACACTTTAAATCCTTGTAATAACAAACAAGAAGAGGGGACATTATAATCTGAGCGCATAACTTATCGTCGACTAGGACTTCACAGGCCATATTAACAAAGGTAGCGGACACTCCGCCGATTCAATTGTACCATTCCATACATCGCTGGCAAGAGGGAGGTAGGGTGCCTTCTGTGAGAGTCGTAACTCTGCACACGGCGCTTTGCTTCAAGAGCGACTACGCAAACTTCCGAGAACACCTCTGTGCAGTTTATTGTTGAGAAATAGAGATAGTCTACTTTGATTTTATTGAGGAAATTTACATTCTGATTGATACCACTCTGAACACGGTAAATAAACCTTATACTTTAACATAGAAAATTTTCATCGCCGTAAAAAGACTGAATACTATTTCCATATTCCATTTTAGTTACTTTTTTAATATAAAAATTGCATAAAATACTATTCTTCAAGTCGCAACCTTAAAACATCGACATGCGAAATCTAATAAAACTACATATTACAAAACATATCGATATTTCTAAAACAAACAGTAAACGCACTAATCCTATAAAGTTGCCGCTTGCTTATAGCTCGCCCGAAAAGAAAGACTCCTTGAGGCGAACTACAGAAAACTCGAACAATTAATCGCACGGCCTTTGACAAATATTTCCTTGACAATAAAATATAGGGAGTTTTAGCAGCGGGGCGCTGCCTCGCCAGCGACAGAACTGTCGCAGACAACTGACGCGCCCACCGTGGGGGAATATTTAAAAGGAACAGTGGCCCACGACCTCTATTATATTTTATAGCTAAACCTAGTCCTAGAAAACACTAAAAAAAATTTATCGCAAGTCCAAACCCCAGGGGTATAGATGAATTGTAATTATTATTTTTCTATACGAACCACGTTTAGAAACAAAGAACGTTAAAACATAGCAATGTGCTCGGTTCGCAATTAACGCTGTTTTAGTAGTAGTCCAGTAAAATATAATTAGTGATTCCTCATTACCGAGCAGCGTGGCCCCTCTGGACGTTCGTGCCTCTGTTGGCTTATGGTTATTAATAACGCGGGGCGCCCCCTCCCCTCCCCCTCAGTCCTCCCGCGCCCGCCGCACGCCACCACGCTCGTCCGCGCTGCCGCACGTCTGACATTTTAATTCCAACGCCGGGGTTATTCGTGTATCTATATTTTTTATCGATATTTTTTCATCGATACCAATACTCTTCACTAGTTAAGAGACTTTACCCATATAGACCGATAAGTTATATGAACCGGTAAGCACAGGTGAGACTAAATAATGTCCATGTAGAGTTTACATATTTTCTGACAGTACCAATGTATAGCAGCGCGTCCCTAGACATCATTGTTTGACTATTACGACTTTCTTATCGAAACTGAGAAACGGGAAACAAAACATATTATCTAAATAATGTTTAAAATTCCGTGAATGCGTGGACAAATTTATAAACATTTCAGTGCTCTATTGAGAATATAAACTAGGTGGTTGGAAGGTGCCTGTGCTCGATAAAAGCATTACATAGATAACATCGACTAGGCTGGTACATCACTAGCTACAAATGCTACAATGGCGGTCGGGCGAGCGCAGGTCGAGCGCAACATGGCTGCCGGTAGGCGGTGCGGGCGACAGAGACGGGGAGAGCACAGAGTATGGCTCTTCCACTCGCACTCGCACGCGAAGCCGGCATCGATCTCCGCTCGGCGAGCTCGCCCCCAGCACCAGAAAGGCGGAACTAACAAAATTACAAAGCGCTTTCGAGCCGCTAATCATAAAATAAGATACGACGTTTCATTTCGACCGTACGACTCTCGAGCGATCGCGATGCCGGAATGGCCCTTGACTGTCAAAATTCTCCACCGACTGCGGAGAGTATTAACCGCGCGCCGGTCGCTGGAATTTTGTAAAACCTCAAATCGAGTTTAGATTTACGTAGAGCACGGCCGTATCGAGACGATGTGAAACTAACGCTTCTAGATATAGTTCAATGCTCTGTAACAATGAAGCATTGTATCGATTCTGAGCATAGAGTAGGGTACATGACAGCGATAGAGAATTTAAGCGGATTTAAAGATCGAGTGGAATTTTTAATTGCGTTTATGTTGACAAGGATTCCCTTTCTAGTCGTAGGTGTTTAGTTAGCAGTGCGGGAGGGGAAAGAGGGTTAAAATAGAAATGTGCATATGCGAAAATGCCGCTGGCGATATGGGTCGCGTTCACGTCGGCATAAATTGCCGCGGGGCCTCCTCGAGGCGTTTAATTCGAGCGGCGCGTGCAAAATTGACAGAAGACGTTCCCTCGCACAGCGGAGGGTTACGTCGCGCTCCGCCGCTCCTCTGATAGCTGACTGACGTTTAATTTTTGCACCCCGAGGAACACAAGACGTTTATTCGCAAAGGGACACATTTATCACGTACAAAATTTGAATATGTTTAAAATAGTTTCGAATACGAAGAATTCCCTGGCAAAAAGGTATGCATCGTTTCAAAACTTTATGTGAAAACCATGCTTTACAATTCGTTCTTGGTAGGTTATAATCTGACATAACTAGTATGTATCGCAAAATTAGTCAATACATTTATTACGAGTATTTCAACGTTAATAAAGATGCATAATATTGTAAGAGAACGGACATTGGTGACGGCATCTCATATATCCGTCAAGATATGCAAATCGCTGAGCGAAGCGTGCCAAAAGCACATCGCGCGTCCCGTTCAGAATTTCTAGCTGAGCTGCGACATCCCTTGCACATTACATTTGGATGAAAGAACATTTCTCTAACAATCCGACCGTTGAAAAACAAGTCAAAGATAAAAAGCATTCAGAAATTTCTTACATTATACGTAAACGGAAAGTATAACGCACAAGATAAAGTGTAATAGTTAATTTTACATTGAAAAGTATTTACTAGCACCCACGTAACATGGGTGGGTGTATTGTACATGCTTATTATAGATGTAAAAACATCCTGTTGCTAATAGTCCAGCATTATACAAAATGTGAGGAAAAATAAAACAAGAACCAAATTTACATTACATAGAGTATCAGGACTTCGTACAAAGAAAACAAGAACATCAAAGCAAATAGAACAAACTTTCGGAAAGTAAAAGTTGTCCATTAGGGCGGCTATGGCCATAGACGGTTTATTGAAATAGTTATGGGTTGGGGAGGTAATTTTTAAAAATTGCTAAAAACGAGCGGCCTGTACATTCGGCAGCAGTTTAATGGCAGCGATAACAGTAAAGTTCATAGCCCAAGTTGAGCCGGGGCCGGGCCCGGGGAGCGGCGTGGATTACTGAGCACTGTTCATATACAGGGATACAATTTTGTTGCGAACTGCACGAACGCGTAGTTTCACGTTAAGCCTTTATTGTATGTGAAACACGAAAAATATGATATTGTACTATAAACATAAACTATACTTCGAACTGGGTTACGGAAATAACATCAGTTGATTATACAATACAGTTTTCATAGCTTTTTATCATGATTTATTTATATTAGGACTAGCATTTGCCCACGACTTCCTCCACGTGGAATAAAAAACAAAAGCAAATAGTCTATGTATTCCTCAAAACTATCCTCTACATCAATGCCAAATGTTATCGATATCCGCTTAGCAGTTTAGGCTTCAAACTCTAACTAACATCCATCCATCCATCTAAACTTTTGCATTTATAAAATTAGTATGATTAAGTTTTAAAAAGGCATTTTCAGGTTTGATCCAAAAAAAGGTTTGAAAAATAAAACCGATAATAATTGCTTCCTAATTAAAAAAAAATGGAAACTTTCACATTCCCACTATTTGCAGGATCTCGAAAAGACACCTTACGCGAAATAATGTGTCATCAAAGCATCGTAGTTAAGCTCTAACTGTTCGACTAGCCATTAACAAGAACGGTTTAGCCATCGCCGCCCCAACTACGCCGCCAGACATGCCAATGTAATTACGACGATTACTTTCAGCCGAGTGCTATACAATTTTAACTGCGTGTGCCCAATTGTTATCAACAATGATTTGCTGCTGTTTTAATTCATTTAATTTGAACGTTTTACAACTATGGAATTGTAACTCATTCAATCAAGAAAATTATACAAAAAAATATGGGGTATTTTTTTTGTATAATTTTCTTCGTTAGTTAAAATAAACCATTTTAATCTAAACGATAAGTATAACAAAGTGCTTTTTTGTTTACATTCTTACAATTAAGTGTCGATCTAAATGTGCTTTAAGACTAAAGTTCTCATAATCTAAATCTCAAAATGTTTAAACCTTATAAGCATAAATAATACATTATCGAATAAAACTCGTTAGTTCAATAACAATACATAAAAGTGCTAGTACAATCTTTAACAGCTCGTTTCTTTTTTTAAACAAATTCCTAAAAATCTCTCGAAGCATTCCCACATGGGAAAACGAGGTACCAGGAACAATAACAACACTTAGCGCAGCGACTGGAATTTCGGTTAATACCGTCGTTTCGGTCGTTCCCAGGCGTCGTCGTAAAAGTAAGTTTAGTCGTTTAAAACGTCGAGATGTGTACTTTCACAAAAAGAGAAGGGGCAACTGGTTGGGGGGGTGACGAGGGAAGAGGAAGCCGCTGATTAACCCACTCCCATAAAAAGTAAAAGAGTACTGCCGACGTTATATCGTATACTGAAATTATATTTTTATTATGATACTTAATACAGCTATCTCGGAACGAAGTTTGTGGAACAAAAACTAAGGAAATGCTAGCCCATTCGGATTTCCTTAAATGTAGCCTGAGTTAGTTGTAATGGATTTACCAAGGAAGTAATAATACTAACGCAATTGTATATTTCGAATGAAGAAAATAGATATTTTAATACTATTCGCCAGACCTCATTCATAGTAGAGGTGAGTGTCAACAGATCCCTTGTGATCATCGTTAAGTAATCGTGAATAGCTTTCCAAGCATAATGTGGTTGATGCATTCCGCGAATCGATTCGATACCCTTCGACAGACCACCCATACCGTACTATATATTTTTTGACGACGTTTACACATTTTTGTCTTTAACAGAATAACACAGTACTGTTAGGGACAGTGCTTTAGAATCAGATTGTGGTGTGTGTGAGTCGTCTTATACATTTAGTATGTTACTTTACCTGGTGCGGAGGTTGCGAGGCAGGCGGTAGATGTGGAGGGTGCTGCGAGTCATGCGAGGGCGATAGAGGTCCGGCGGTGGGCACGGCGCCCGGACTTGGCGCGCCCGACGGGTGGTTAGGCGGTTGCGGGGATCCGCCACGTTCATAACCCTGGGAACATAATCATTTGGTCAATTTTGTACAATATTATACAAAATATTGTACAATACCTTCATTAAAACACTCGTTTTATAGCAAAAGTATGTATGGCAATACAATTACACCGCAGAATTGCAATTCTTCTACAGCAGGCGCGTGCTGTTAGAAAAATATTCACACATTTTTTTAAACACTACCTATTTACATTTACTCAAAGTGAAATTATATTAAAATAATATGAATTAATTTTGTAAGTATACTAAATGTTAAAAAAAATCTGTAATAAAGATCTTTTGTATTAAAGTAATAAAGTTTGGCTATGACTTCATTGATACTAAAGTGCTTTCATGTGGAAAGTAATCGATAGTTTTTAAGGGCTATTAATTTTTGCACATCAACATTTCGATTCAAGTTTTAGTACGACGCACAACAATCGAAAATGGGGGCACACTATAAATCGCAAACAAAGCCACGTCCTTGGCAATGAATTTAAATGGCTAATGGCTCCATGATAATTAGCCTCCTTTATTTTCGCTTGCCTTTTTGTTACACAAATGACACGCATTTCTCGGTGTTATTGTTACGATACTTATGTAACATAAGAGATAATTGTTTGAACGCGGTTACGGTATATGAAGCCGGTAATTTCTTATAAGATCGAAGAATTCATTATGTGGAGTTAAATTTGTATTGTGTTCTCTATAAATGATTCAACCGCTGGATTTGGGATACCAAGACATTTAATCAATATAGAGGTTAATGATAATACCTCAAAAAAGGATTCTGTAGTCACAACAGCAATAGGTACAGTATTTATTACTTTCAACATAGAATATAAGAGCTGTCCCTCTATCCACTTGCACATTAAATGAAGCGATATGCTTAGGTATTACCGTAAACAATAAAAAATTAAACTGCGAGTAGAACTTCTAATGTATTACATTTCCTTGACACCATATCCTCTAATCAATGAATCGACGCATAATACGTCACAATTCGTAATCGAAACTCAATTTATCGGATGTTAGTGTGTTTATGAATCAAGGTACTTTCATTGGGAAACAATTTGTGAGGCGGACGTATTGTTTGCGCGGGCATCGTGGCGCTCGTATGCGTGCGAGACAAACACAAACAACCGTTAATTTCAAACGACGCACACACACAAACAATAGAGGTGGGATAAAACAATCGGGCGCGTGCAAAAGCGGGTCGTCGGCCAGGGGCGGCCTTGACCGTGCATCCATTATGCACACCCGTTTACTTGCGAATAAGTGCACCTCCATATTGTTTTATAGCTACGTTGTTAGAGAGCGGTTCCATTCACAATACCGCGAAAGCGACCGCGACGCATATAGCGAAACTTATTCGCGAACGTTTCTCCCTACGCAGTCCGCTGTGAAGCCGCACCACAACAGACAAACATCAATTCCAGTCATCGCACGTGGAATAATAACTGGTACTACACTCGTTTCTACATATTTTAATATCATTGCCATTCAAAGTAATTTGCCAATGTCAATTTATTCATGAGGATAATAATTCATATTGCCTATCTCATTATGTAAATTATATGATATTATTCATAATCATCTTAGATAACACTAAGATTTAAGAAGAACAGGTCTCAAAGGTTCTTCTAAATTGATGCAAGAAGAAAACAGACAAAAGTGCAAACCCAATATATAGAGATTCAGATAAGGCAGTTTTTTTATTTCCTGGAGAAAAAGAAATAGTTATTTTTAAAAGGCACGATAAGACCCATTGAGCAATTGAAAAGGCTTTGATATCCATAAACTTAATATCAAAACAAACGATATAAGTTGCAGACACTATGGGTACGTAACAGGCTCATTCATTACAAATTCATTAGTGAGTAGCGGAGAGTAGCGGAGGAGCGGAGCGCGTCCTCGACACAGTTCGCCGCAGACATTGATTGCATCAATCGCACAATGCTTTCACTGCGCACTGCTCTAGTGCTTGGCTTCCGCGTCACGTTTCAAGGCTAAAGATAAGGTTAGACCGATATTTACTTCTCCAGGTCAATGAAAATCGTTGGCTTTAAACCGATAACACTTGTTCGAAAAAATTGTTTCAAACACTTCATTGAATACTATTATTCTTAGTTGTCATTTGCACGCCTTCTACGGCTCTGTAACCGCTCAGATATGGCAATTTTGTTTGAGTGTAGTTCAGTCAAATTCTACAGAAGATGGTATCAGCATCGACCCTGCGCTGGTAGTTAATTAGTATGATATCTTTAAAAAAATTATTTATTTAATAAGGTAAAATGACATGACTTGATGACAAACCATGACAACCTTGCTTCCTTGATGTTGGCAGCAACTTATGGTCTCCTTCCCACATCAGGGTTTTTATCCAAAATATTTACACCCTAGGTTTAATGACTTAAAATATATAAGCGTGACGTAAGTGTAGGACTTTTTATTGAAAAAAGAACTATTCAAAAATATGCTGTAATTGCTGACATCTTAGGCAACAAAGAAGTGTGTGTTTACGCTTTATTATAATAGTATAGATAGTATAGAAAAAAGTGATTCTAGATTATTATAAACTAAAAACAGCAATTGTGTGTGCTTATTTAATCGCTTTAAAGGAGATTCAGATAATAGTCTCAAAGCAAAGGACACTTTTGGATTCCACTGGCAGGTAATTGATAGTCACCGGCTAGTCCTATGCAAAGCCGTCTTGAATTGTCAGTACGCGACGAGTCGTTATGGTCATTTGTCACGTGCTGTACACCCCATTTCCGGCACCATGAAACCGTGAAAGGTAAAGTATGACAACGACTAACGATAATGCAGTTCTTAAGTTAAATTCCAGGAAAGTATTTGCTCAGCTATACTTTGAAAATTTGGAGAAAGAGATTACGTCCTAGAAAATTTAAGTTCTTGGATATTTATTTCTGAACTCTGAACCCTGACGAGATCTTTTAAAAGGATTTCAGCAATGTCGGGTGAATTGACGTGTATACAGTTGTAAAGGAAATAAGATTTGTGTTATTGTTTTCATATTGAATACGAAAGCGTAACCTTTACAAATTTAGTAGGCGGCTTACGGGTGGGGTGGTAAATGGTAGTAAGGGTGGCAGGTCGGTTGCGCCAAAAACAAAATACGAAGAATTCGAAGACTTTCACTGAATAATAATTTTGTGGATAAACTTATTGGTTAGCACGAGAAATCGAGACTATCGCCTAGTCAAAGTTTAGCAGAGTATCGTTCGAACAATCCGTGTCGGTCGCCAACCAATCCATCAAAGAAGGGGGGCAGGAGAGGGTGTGAGGCATCCCCCCGTACCCACATAAATATTGCGGGTAGGTGAGTACAAACCCTTTGACCGAGTTCTGTTTACTTTCGTTTTCGCTCAGCTGACGGGGCCGCCACCCCGCCTGTGTAGCGCCACTATTATTATGATAATTAGAGCTATCAACTCCATGTCTCACTAATTACAGTGAGGACTATGCGGTGCGACACAACGACCCGTCGCTGGCAATTCGTTGGCACGCACTCTAGCTGACGAAATTGATTACAAATTATACATTGACGAAATAGCGCTCATGAGTTTTTGGTCTCTGCTTAAGGGCGATACCGTATGTCACGAACACTTCAATAGTTGACGACATCTGATGATTTGGTTTGTTTATTTTTCATGTAGTTTGAGAGGAGAGGGGAGACGCAGCGGAGAGCACTCAAGGTTGCAACGAGTTCGGACGAGGCAGACGGGGCGCAGACGTGCATTATTAGGTGGGCGCTGGAACAGGCACGGGTGCCGCGGATGCCGCGGGTGTGGGGCCCGCCGGGGGGCGACGGGGTGCGCGTACGTCATCACCTGAGGCGCGTCCTTGAAACCGTCGTCGCATTCATTGCACCCGGATGCGGGCCGTATCCCCGAGTCGCGATACCCGCACTCCGGATTGCACCTAACTATCTCACGACGACACCCCACGTTCGTCGTCTTACTGCGGCATCCGTGTCAACACACGCACACATTCATAGGACGTGCGACGCCTCGCGAACTATAACATCTATATAAGATCCATGTGTTATGACCTCACACGTAACACTATGCTATTGAATAACAATTTACAATGGACGGTTGAACTTAAACACATGCTTCACGCCTTTGTGCTTTGGCATGCTTACAATAGTGTGGGCTGAAGTAAGAATTCAAACGTAATATAAGCATACTTCTTGTCTGTTTTCATAGATTTCATGACATGCACATTTCCTCTATTGTACGCGTGCTTTTGTTATGAAATATAAACATTACAGTTATGCGTAAAATGTTCAACTTGTAATAGTCCATAGCGATTACAGTTTCAGTTTTCATAACTAGAATTCTACATGTATTTATTCTGTAAAATTCATGTTATAGACCAATTTTATGTCAACTTAATTAGTTATCCTATCAACTATTTCTCATTCAATATTTGGAAAGAAAAAGTAGTAATCAATTAATTCATATCATTCAATGTAATGATGATCGCAGCCGAAGCGCTCGTAAAATTAATGACCAACGTCAAGCGTCATTATAAAAACATACACAGCGTCGACGGCAATCTAAAAATATCAACGACTATCGGTCACGGTATTTCCCACACCACTTTCATACTTGCTCATTTGCCGATTTACCACAATGTAATTATAACAAGCTACCTTTACAAATAAAGTAGTAATGGAAAATATGGTTGTTAGTGAACTATAAAAAAAAGATTAATTAAGTTTTGAATTTTAGCGACCCATAATTTGAGTGATTATGCCATGCATGCATTCAGGAGATCGCAAAAGCATTTGATTTTTAACATATAAAATCATAATACTTATCCGATTGTCTTATATTTCAATCCGATATCAAAGTAAAACAAATTTGAAAATAATAAAGTACTTATAACAATATAAAAAGGTTTACCAAACCAAATTCGATTTCATGTGTAAATATTCCTTTAAATGTGGCAAAAATACTTTATGTATTGTTGATTTCAAAGAGTAGCTTAACTTTGTGGAACATAATAGAATGATGGGGGCTCTTTTATATCGTTGTGATTCATTTTTACAATGAAATATGCTCTCAAAAGCTTCGTTCGCTGACATTTCGGGGGTTTATTTTCTCGATATTTACCGTTAAATCACAACATAGGTGGCTGAGATAGATAATGTTTTATCTTTCGTAGGCTGCGGTTACAAAACGACCTTGTGCGTTGTCGGATCATTTCTTAACAAACGATTTCTACACGGAGTCGTTCCAAGAGCAGTGCTTGAGAACGTAGAGCTCGGGCCCGCGTTGCACAACAACGCTTACGTCAGCTAGCGCGCAGAGCGGCTTACGTCATGGAGCGTTTACTATTCCAGGCAATTTTAGAGCCTATGTCTGCACTACTTAGGGCCGAGTTGCTTTGCGTCGGCCGCGGGTATGATAGAACATTTATGTTCACGTGAGTGGCCGAGGCTCCGCCGCGCCGCCGCCGGCTCGAGACGATTCTGAGAAACGTTCGAGGCTCTCTAGTTTCGGACTTGAATATGAATCGTGTAATACGACGATGGAGCGTCATTTTCAACTTATTTAAGGGAAGCGATGCACTTCTATGTCTTCGTTTTATATTTATACTGAGTTTACAAATATTTACGTTAATTCTACTTTTACTTGGTTTTACTAAAAAATTAATTTCGGTAAAAAGGTTTCGGTTTAAAGCTACCGTATCAATATAGATTAATTCTCTAGTTTGAATGAAGATTGACGCAGCAATAGTTCCTCGGGGCTGAGATATTTTTTTTCTGCAACGTGTGAATAAATAAAGGTATCATGTCATTGTAATTTGCTATTGAACTGCACTCTCGCGTTTGTAGCTTCGATATTATAAAACGAGAAGTTCTTACTGAATAGTGTAAGCAGTGATTTCTCACTGAGAAATATGAACAAAACATATTGTCACCACTTTTATCTTCTTAAAAAAACAGATGCACACATTCAACTATATGTTTAAGAACAGGTATTTGGACAGTGGAAACTTGCAATAAGTCATCATTAGAACGTGTGATTGATTACCTGATGTGGTGAGAAGGGCGGTCGCGAATTGGGCGGCGGTGGGTACCGCTGAGGGTACGCGCCGGGCGGGCCGTAACCGGGCTGCTGGCCGCCGCCGGGTCCGCCAGGCCCGCCGTACGGAGGACCGCCATACCCCCTCGCCGGCTGTACAACAAACGCAGTAAAATTAGCAAACATTAAAAAAGGATTCTATAATGTAATTTCTTCGCTATCTAAAGCAGATAAATGTCAATATCAAAAAAATTACGATAAATTAATTCAGAGGGAACTATGAAGTCAAACGTCTGAACGAATAAATTTAATATTTACCTGTCCTATAGAAGTAGGAAATAATTAATATTAATATTATTGCTTTTCTAGAAAAGATTTACATTCACAGAAGTCAATGGAACAATCGGTCCGTCTATTTCTAAGACAATAACTTAAATAAAATGCATAAATAATAAAGAATTATTTAACTTGTTCATTAACTCGAGTATCTACTACAAGAGAAAAAGAAACATTGTAGAGAAGAAAAAGTATACATCCTTTGTGAATCAGTTAATTAATATATTTTCAATTAATAAGCGAACAATAAACAAACAAAGCATCGCTACAGATAGCCGACGGACATTGTCTTATTTCAGTTTCCTCCTGCTTATTGGCTCGTTGTAACTTAACCCTCGTATAAAAGGCAGAATTTAACTTGGAAATGAAGAACTCAAACTCCCACAGACAAGTTCTTCGACTAGCTAATGAATTACAAATGCAAGAGTTGAAAAAGCGATCGACTGTTACAAAGCCGTTACCTTTGGAGATTTTTTGATTAATTACCATGACAATGGAGTGTCTCAAAAAAAACTTTTTAGAAAAGGTCACAAGTATTGTTTATTTGAGAATGAATCTGTACTGGTGATTCGTAACATAAACTACAAGAATCCTTCGATTTCGTTACGGACTGAGCAGCCATAACTATTTCTTATCAAAATGAAAGTAAAATAATTCCATGATATAAATTATGAAATAAAACATTTTATGAGGTCGTCGTCCGAAAGGTATTGCATTACAACGTAGTAAAATTCCTTACGCTAGCTATCGTCAAAACGTGTAACAAAGTAAGCATGGAAAGAAATAGAAAACCCTTTAACAAAGCCGACTCATATAAAATATTTCAACTGTAATATAAATTTCCTGGCTGATAACGTGTCTAAATAATTGACGGCCGAAGTAATACGCTACGCCAACAATGCCGCCCGTTTCAGCTTTCAGCTCTCATTTTGTTCTGTGATGAAAATTCAATTATTCGGAGGGAGTCGGGCGAGCGACACCGCGGGGACGTTGGCCTGCGATCGAATGTTTTACACCTGCAAACAACTACCTCAGTAGATTTCCGGTAACAGTTCCGACTGCGAGATATGAGGACCGTGTTCGCCAATTAGACTTACATTTTTACGAACATTGGGATGTTTTATGGTGAATTCGATGATTTACGAGGGCGGTGTTGCAGGGTGGGCCGCGCGGGGAGCAGGCAGAGGGTTGTGAGGGGCGGGCGGCGGGGCGCGGCGGGCGGCGGCGCGCCATTGGCCGACACTGCATCGATCGCGCGACGAGCTCAAAGCGACCCGCCCGCGCCAGCCAGCCTCCACCTACGTTAATAAGTAATCATCCGACCCCGCGATACCTCAGCGAGTTTTCCGGACGAAGCTGGCACCGCTGAGACCGGCTTCGTATCTCCAGTCGGCCGGAACAAAGAGCCACCGCACGGGCGACATCCGTATTGATTTATGCAGTAATTGACCCGCGGGTAGATGCGCGACCCGCGCACATTTCTCCCCCCTCCCCCCACACGTCCGTCCTCCGCACGCACCTACATACCTGCACACGCATCTGTATCTATGTCGGACGGAACAATGCATTCGCGTCCATGTTATGCGTAAATAAAAACATCCATTGAGATATGAAAAGATAATTAAACCGACAAGAGAACTCTATCGAGCCCCATTTATAACGTTTTGTTGGTAAATAAAAAACACGCACGAATGGAAAGTCAGCAACGCAGTGACCTATTTTTACCTCCGCGGCGGGACCGTTTCAAGAGTCTCGTAAAAGTTCATTTAAAGATACGAGAGGGGGCTTTTTGTTAGGCTTTAGAGTCATTACGTACGGACCGCGAGTACTAAGTCAAAAATAAACAATACCGCGCAATACAGTTAACCGTCTACGTTTCGTGGATATAAAGAAACCAACTAAAGTAACATGAAATGTAACTACATAATTCTGTGTAAATAAATAAAAAATAGGCGTTATCTGCGGATGTTTATATGTATTAATCCATAACATCAGGCTCGAAGGACCAAAATGTATAGCGTAAAAGATTTAAAAATAACACTCAAGAGACATGCGTATTGGAAAAAAATAGCAGTGGAGAGTATAATCAAGTGTTTCTTTTTGTGGTCCCGTTCTCCGTATTAAACAAATAGTATGTTGTAATACATGCAATAAAATGTTATGGTTAAATTACCAATTAATTCAATACTTTATTATGATAAGAGAGTACTTCAGAAATTTGATAGCATTAACTGCCGTTTGGAGAGCAATTTGCTTAACACAAAGCTCTGAAACGAGCCATATTCCAAAATTAAGTCTATTTGAGAGTGCTCGAATTCACGTCAAGGTAACGTTTCACCCTTTTATATTGATTATAATCCTTTCCTACTAAACAAAAACGTAGTTCTAATGTAAACGAGGGTTTTTGGGAAAGACATTTTAATGTATTTGAAAGGTATTTTTGATCACCTTAAAAATACAAGATGAGTAAACAAGTCAAATCCATCCCACTCTTCTTAGTAGGTACTCAAAGGTTATTAGTATAATATGAAACAAGTATAACATCGTAACATGAATGAACGTACAGGCATAACGAAAAGTACTTTCATTGTGTTGGATGTACTAATGTTAGAAAGTTGTTCATTCTGTTCCGCACTGTACAAAGTGTCGACGGCAAGTTGCGATAATGACTCCGCGTAAGCTCAAGTGGAGCAGTTACAATATTATACATAATGTGGACGGTGGCTGCATCAAAGGCGGCGAGGTGGCCCGTTAGGAATGCGACCGGATTCCGCGCGGCCCTCTGACGACCGCCTTCGCCGACATTATGTCATTATCAATGACCTAAATATATACATTTCCTTTCGCATTTATTTATATGGATTTCAACAAATATGGACTAAAAATAACTGTTTATTTCTACATACAAATGTAATCTTATTAAATTTATAATGGACGCTCGACTTCTATTTAAATAAACACGCACGAAAACAATAACTTTACACCTACAACAATGTCTTACAACAATTACGTCAAGAACTATGATAAGGATTGTAAACGTATTAACATTTGAACGTACGTAATAATAAATATCAATCATGCTATAATTAGCCGAATGCGGTGAGGTAATTCACAAGGTTGGAGTCATAAAGTGGTGCGAGCGAGCCGGAATGCGAACCATTCCGCAGCTAAACATACATCACACGACAAGGACACTGGAGCTATAATAAATGTACAAAAAGTAAACACCGTACCGGCAGAAATGTTAATGACCTATGACTAATACGAGAGCCCGGTAATGTATTATATCGGCATTCGTACAAACGGTGGCGGTCGGCGCCGACGGATGCGAGCAAACATTACATAATTCTTTGATTGTGTTTGTAAAAAGTCGGGGATTCCCACCACTACAGGCGCATTCCACGCGGACGCACCCCGCCGCACGTGTGAGCGTAACCTTGCCTTCCTTTACATATTAAACGCCGCCGGGCTATCCCTTTGCGTATCTACAACAAAAAAACCTCGAGGCCATAACTGTATTGTTGCGAGAAAAGGAAAAATGAATGAGATGGGATTGAGTGTTATTACTATTATTACTACATTTCGAGCGGCTCCCGCGAGACGATAAAAGCGCCGCTGACCGGTTCACTTTTTATACTTGTTTGTGTAACAACAATGGGACGTAAACCGTGCTCGTCGCACTCGTCTTCCGTGTTTACGATGCGTACCGCAAGTGTTATTAGCAGCGCACTTGCCAGCCGACACAAAAACGTTCTATTTAAATTTGATGCGCGATAACAACATCAATAGCAGACAGATTTCTAAGAACATCAATGATAACATCGGCGCCGGCGCAGCAGATAAATAGAGGAGCGTGATCTTGGTAAGATTTAATAAGAGACAATCTCGGCGGCGCTGAGTAAATATAAATGTTTGTATTTAATTATAAACCGTCTATAAATAGACGGGGAAGCATTACGTAATGTGCGGTCTGTTACGGCGCGTTATTTCGGTCATCAGTTGACACGAGCCCCGTGAATGTCAAGCTCGCAGTAACTGGCCGTCGCGGTTGGGCAACAGGTGGATTCCGTCAACGTCTTATTGCACTTCACTTTGCTATTACTATCCATTTACTTCAACTAAATAACACAAGCCGGTCATTAAAAAGGTGTTAGCGTCCAACATTCAACTACAGAAAGGCTAAATTGATACGAATAATGACTGCTTGTAGCGTAGCACTCGTGTTATTAACTATACTTCTTTTGCATTAGATATTTTTTTTTTTTTTTTATAACATAAGGTGGCAAACGAGCAAGCGGCCACCTGAAATCGCCAAAATGGCGAAGCGACCGCTGCCCATAGACGTCTGCAATTGCAGATGCGTTGCCTACCCTTATCCGACGGAGGAGGAGACGCACACAAAGAGGATATTTCCCCTTCCTATGCATCTCCTCCACCGTCAAATCCACTTCCTCTTCCCAACCTCTCTTTATAAGAAAAGGGTTGCAAAGGGAAAGGGACTATAATTAGGCCTCCGGCACCACACTCATCAGACGAAACACGGAATTGTTTCCATTTCACGCCTGTCTTCTGTGTGGTCGTGGTATTACACCGGGCGTGCCGGCCCATTCGTGCTAAGATGTTAAAGCGGGCACTACCACTGCTATATTCCAAGAAGTCTCCGTCTCTCCTCCTTACCTTAGTTAGAAACTCTCCTTCTTAGTTATTTATTTTAATAATTGCTGTATCTCAACACTTTTTTGGTAGATCTACTTGAAGACTTATCGTATGCTTTCATTTCACATGCCTTTCCTGCGCCAGTTCTATTATTCACACAT